TGCCGCTTTAAAATGGATTTTGCAATTAAAGAATCCTGAAGGACAGGTAGCAAATAGATTGAGAGACTACAGAAGTTCGACTTTGACACTGAACATTGGGCTGGGGCCATTCACAGAAATGCTGATGCCTTGTCAAAAAGACCTTGCCCGGAAGACTGTAAACATTGCCTTAGGGCCGAAGAAAATTGTTTATTCGCAGGACTACACTCGTGGATGATCATTGGCATTCCGCTAGCATAAAGGGGACCCGGATTTAAAGCCCATCATCGACTGGAAGAAGAACGACCGCAGAACAACGTGGCAGGAAGTCGCCCAATATTCGCCGGATGTAAATTTGTACTGGGCCCAGTTGACCTACATCATCTTAAGTGACAGACTTCTGAAGCGTGTTCTGGAGACTTCAGAAGGAGGGGAAGACCGGAAACAGATATTAATCCCTAGAAACAGAATATCAGAAGGGCTGCAGGAAAATCATAATGGAACCACTGGACGACACCTTGGGGTGACAAGGAAGCTCGGAAGACTTAGGGAACGGTTTTATTGGGCTAACTATCAACAAGATGTAAAGGAATATTGCAAGAAGTGGACCCCAGAATCGCCAGAAAGCTCCAATCCGATTGGACAACGTGGGCAGTCCATTTCAGAGAATTTCAATTGACGTGGCAGGTTCATTTCCGGAAACAGAATCTGAATATAAATACATCATCGTTGTAATGGACTACTTCAGCAAGTGGGCAGAAGCGTAGGCCTTGCCAAACCAAGAAGCTGCCAAAGTGGCCGATTGCCTTATTAAGGAGTGGATTTGTCGTTTTCATGTCCCAATGGAGATGCATTGAGACCAAGGTAGGAACTTTGAATCTATATTGTCTTAGAATGTCTGCAGGATTCTTAACATTCAAAAGACAAGGATGACCACATTAAATCTGCAGTCTGATGGCCGCTACCTGTCTAGGCATTGCAATTCAGCAGGGTTTTTAATTCAGCTGGATTTTTGTTGGATCAATATCAATCCAGCTGGATCCAGCGCGGATTCAGCAATTTATAAATTTAAAAACTTTTATTATTATTTTTATTTTCATAAAAAACCTAAAATGGGTATCTACCAATTTATAGAAAATAAAAAATAAATTAAATAAAATTTTAATTCGACAGCAATTAAATTAATTGATTTAATTGATTACTTTTTTAATTAATATTTCTTTTAATTTAAAACATTAATTTAACCAATTTTCATGTTTCGTTAACTTTTTACATTAATATTTCTTTTAATTTAAAACATTAATTTAATCAATTTTCATGTTTTGTTAATTTTTTACCATTAAACTCTCGTATAATATAGGTTTTTTTATAAATTAGTTAAAAAACTGATTAGCTAGCTATACTATAGTAAATTACTATTAGTAATATGTAAACCTAAATAAATATTAAATATTATTTTTACAGGACTGAAAAACTTTCATGAAAAAGAATATTGCACTATTTCGTATATTTCAGTTTTTAGTACATTTATCCTCTTTTAAACCCCATAATATAAATTATTTCTATTGGACAATTAAATATTTATAGAAAATTGTGATTTCTACATTAAAAGAAGAAACAAAATTAATGTAAAGATTATGAGATAATTATCTTTATTATTTTTTATAACAATTATTATTACAAGTCTTTTTTTGTTCCCGTAATCTAATGTAATGTTTATAAATAAATTAAAATTTAGTCAAATTACTCACAATTCTCACAACAAACAATCCGAGCCACAGCGGTAACAAGAAGACACTTATTTAGCATAAAACTTTATCAAGCGAGAGTGAAAAGTGCTGTGTAGAAAGGGGTGTAGCACGTGCCGCAAGCGTGACAGAACGGTAAGGTCGCTCCCACCGAGGATGTCTGGCATTAGCGCACCTAGCAAAGCGGCAAAGCTGTCAACGTAGACTTTTGCGCCATTATTTGGAAAGTTAATTATTTGCGGATCCAGCAGGCTGGAAAATGCGCTGGATCTAGCTGGATTGTTGTATGAGGGATCCAGCAATTGTAAATTTAATTTAATCATTAATCATACAATTGTAATCCCTATACTTATCGAAGGTAGTTTTTTGACTGTGATAACTTTCTCCATCAGTTCCTGTTGGCGTACCGTTCTTTCTATCTATGATACAACTGGCCAGACGCCCGCCAGCATTGTTATGGGACGTGAACTTTGTCAATCCTGTGACTTGCGGTTTGGCTGCCTTCCAGGAGAAGATATTGCTGGATAAGATTCTGTCAGCAATTTACGTAGGAAAATGAGTGACATTCACAGCCGAGTTCGTTTAAAAATCCTGAATGACAAAGATAGAATGAAATAGGCATACGACATTAAGGCGGATAATGGAGGATTTCAACCTGGACACCTGGTTTGGTAATACAACCCACAGCGTCATCGTGGTTATTCGCCGAAGCTACAGACTTCTTAGAAAGGACCATACGAAGTCATAGATCGCATAAATGGCATCATCTACAGGATCAGGAAACAACCAAGAAGCCGGGAACCGAAAGTGATCCATTTACACTGGTAATAATCACGACCAAATATACGATGCTAGAGTACATCCAGACTGACAGGGAGAGAATGAAAGAGGCATAAGATATTAAGGAGGATAATAAAGGATTTCAACCTGGAGACCTGGTTTGGTAGTCTCTGATCATAAAAGAGACTGGGATCACTTCCTCTATCTGTTCCTGTTGGTGTACCATTCTTCTATCCATGATACAACTGGCCAGACGTAAACTTTGTCTATCTTGTGACTTGCGCTTTGGCTGCCTTCCACCAATTTACGTAGGAAAATGAGCGACATTCATAGCCGAATTCGTTTAAAAATCCAGAGTGACAAAGACAGAATGACATAGGCATATGACATTAAGGCGGATAATGGAGGATTTCAACCTGGAGACCTAGTTTGGAAAGGACCATACGAAGTCATAGATCGCATAAATGGCATCATATACAGGATCAGGAAACAACCAAGAGGGAAGCCGAAAGTGATCCATTTCAACCGATTTGCTCCTTACGCTGGAAATAATCATGACCAAATATACGATGATAGAGTAGCTAGAGTGGCTCACTGTGTTGCAGAAGATCTCAGGATGTCCAGGGGAAAAGCGGTCACCTTTAAAAAACTTTGCACAAACCAACGAACTGCGAAGGCAGAATCCCAAAGTTGGGGAGGTACTTGAAATAGTGAATAGCGGGCAGATAGGCAGTAAGTATCTGGTAACAAAGTAGCTCTCCCTTCAGAAGCCAAAGTACCGTGACGTTAAAAATTGAGGGATACCCTTTTGTCCAAGGGAATCCTGAATCTGGCAATACCAAAGCTTGCTTGTGGACATGATGGTTTGGAAAGGAGAATAATTAGAAGTATGCTGGAGTTTATCTTCAGATTTAGTTGCATACACATTCTTGTCTGTTGCCACAACCCTAAAAGGGGAATCAAAATGAAGACCGTAGATTGCTACTTCTATAGAACGTCACAATGTAAGTTTGGATCCCTATGCAAATATCGCCATGGAGCTGGGGACTATGTCACACTTCGGACTTTTCTGGACGAAAATATCTTAAGACTGGGGCAATGTAGCGAGTACCCGCTTCGTAAGTTCGGAATGATTCCTGAGCGATCAAGAGTGTTGTGGAACAATATCTTTATTATCTCCCTGGCACATGACTTATAAATTCCCCGTATAAATATTTAAATAATTAATTTTAATAAACTTTAAATTTTGGCGAATGCGCCGGAATTAATTGACTTTAATCATATTATTATTTGGGGAAATAAAAAATCTTTTAACAAAAAATGCTTTTTTTTATGTAGCCTAACTTTTATAATACACTGCGCGTCAAAATTAACGCATAATAAGTAAAAAAATTCTAACTCTCAAACGCCTTTACCAATCTTTATGAAATTTTGTATAAAAATATTTGTATCTCAGTTTACGTGTTCGAGGGTTTTTCGAGAAAATATTTTGAAAGCCCTTTTATTTAATAATAAAAAAAGTTTGAAAAATAACTTTTAGGGATTTTTTTTTACTAAATAAAAATCTTAAAGACCGTATTTTTGTTAGTATACCCTGAAAATTTTGTACAAATCAAACGAACAGTAACGAAGATACATCGCTTCAAAGTCGGTAAAAATGACCCCTTTTTGATTATTTTGCTGAAAAGTGGTCATTTCTGACGACTTTGAAGCGCTGTATTTTTTTACTGTTTGTTTGATTTGTACTTTTTTTGTTGTTTTGTAGTTTTTTTTCTAACGTTTTTATTAATAAAACGGCTTTAAGGATATTTTCTCGAAAAAACCCTTGAACACGTAAACTGAGATATAAGTTAAAGTATTTTTATCCAAAATTTTATAAAGATTGGTAAAGGCGTTTTAGAGTTGGATTTTTTAAACTTTTATGCGTTAATTTTGACGCCCAGTCTATCTAATTTATATGTACTACATAAATTATAACTTTAAATGCATATTATATTATACAAGCGTACACTTTTGTACTTGATACTGATCTTCGACTTTTTCTTTTTTACATCTAGGATTTTTTAATTTTTTAATTGGAAAATAAGACCCATTATTATTATTACTATTAATATTATATAATACTTATTCAATCATGGGCTCCAGAAACAATTATTGGGGGGAAATTAATTTTTACCTGAAATCTAGAGAAACATTATCAAACATACATTATATAACATTTATTTGGAATAGTGAAGAAATGAAGTCAGTCATTTATTTTTTTTTATTTTTTTTTATATCCATGTGGTAAATTTCCGAATTCGACATTATATTCACAGTTTTGAACCTCTTGGGTGGAATTTTTCACATTTGTATTATTGTGAATAAACTTTTATTTATTATTATTACACTTATACTTTGCCTTTTTTAAGTAAGGATTTACCAAAAAAACGTTTGCTTAATATACAAATAAATTCTTACATTTTTGTTTCTTTTAATCACAAAACATATTACCGTTTCGTTTAGTGCTATCAAATCATTATTTAAGGTGATGATCCTTATTTTTAAAGTGTCTCCTGGTTTGTAGGAATATCTATCAGTTTGTATAAACGTTTTATTCGGCTTACTCGGATACAATAAAATGGGATCCTGATTTCTTGCCGAAATAAACTGGTAGTTGGTTTTAATGGTCGTTTTAATTTTGACGAATTGGGGTTCATCGATTGGAAAGAAAGGTACATGAAGGGAGAAACATTCCTGATCTAAAAAATATATTTAAGTGGGTCGTAATTTTTATGATACAGGGTGAGTCAACTTGAAACTTTGAAATATCTCAGTTAGTATGCATTTTACGAAAAAAATTTTAAAATAAAAATTAAATGATTCGAGGGGAGAAATAAATCAGTACTAAAATTTCCAACGGAATACTTTTATACCCCAATTAGGATTAAATTAATTAATTGACAAAATAATGTTTTTTTAAAAATAGTACAATAATCCTTTAAATTAAAGGATTTAATGCTGGCAGGTAAAAAGTGACCATGGTGCGCAATTGATAATTATCACCGAATGAAATAAGGTATAAAACTTAAACCAAAGGAAACTTAAATATTCGTTCAAAAATCGTGGGTAGGTACTTAAAAAATTAGATTTAATTTAATAGGATAATTATTACCAAAACAGTAATATTTTTATAGAAAAATTATTGCAGAATCGTATACAAAATTAATTTTTTTTCATTACAGCGCCATATATTACAAATATGAAAAAATGTTTTAGACAAAATCTACCTATTTGTAGTCGAGTGATCCGAAGCTGCAATAAAAAATAGGGTGTTCCATTGAAAATTATAAATTTCCCCCTTTTCCCCCTATACGGAGGAGAGTATGAGGACCAATTTTAGTACTGATTGATTTTCCCCCTCGAATCATTTAATTTTTATTTTAAAATTTTTTTCGTAAAATGCATACTAACTGAGATATTTCAAAGTTTCAAATTAAATGACTCTGTATATTTTTAAAATTAAAAGAAAAAAATCTTTCTTCCGTTTTATTATCTTTGTAAATACACTCATCGGCAAATAAACATAATTATGTTAATAAATAATAATTTATGAATATGTATAGGTTTTAAAAAGTTATTTTACTCTAAAAGTTGAATATTTTTTTTTTCTATAGAAAAGTATTTTTTCTATAGAAAAGTATACTAGCGTGTGCAAGGTAGCACTTATCCGCACCCATTTGCGTGCGCAAAGTTGCACTTTTCCGCATTCATTTGCATTTAAAATATACGTATCATAAGTATCATGGAGCCTACACAAGGAGCCCGATCTTAATAGGGAAAATTGACAAAATATGCCCTCTAAATTGCACAAAGTAAAACGTCATAATATATTATAAATATGACATCCTGGAGGCAGCAAATACTGTAAATGAGAATTTATTACCAGCGAGATCCTGTCAAAAATATGATAAACAATTTAAACATTTTGAAATCATTTTGATAATCATTGTTATCTAACTTTGCGCACGCTAGTAGAAAAAATATTGTTCCTAATACATGCGCAAAGTAATTTTTCCGCACTTACTGCTTGCCCGAACTCCGCTTCGCGTCGTTCGTGCAATAGCAGTAGCGTGCGGAAAAATGTAACTTTGCGCACTTGTTAGGAAAATAACTATTTTTATAGGATTTTTGCTATACGAATCTGTCTAATACCAGTACGAATCTGTCTAATGTGTATACACATACATTTTTTCTTTGAGATTAGGGTATGTAATAGCGATAGGTAGGTATACCTATACACTGAGAGAAAAAATGTTGTAAAATCATTCAAAACGATAATAATTCAAAGGGATTCAAATATGTTTTGGCGTCATTGGTGTTTCCCATTAAATTAATAGGTGCATAACAATTGTATAATACATATCTTTTTGAAACAACTTTGAGAAAGTCAATGAAATAAATGGATTTCTTTTTGTATATATATTTTAAAGAGGGTACACTTTAAAAGTGTTTCAAAAAATTGTAAAACTGTTGGTAAATGAATATAAAACTACAAATTTTTCTTTTTGAATCAAATTTACTCGATTATTTAAATTCATATAATTTCATATGCTTTTCATAACTTGATAACTTTTTTAGAGCTGGATTAGTATGGAGGTATAAGTGTTGCGAGCATTCAGTGAAAATTTGATCGTGATCGGATAAACAGTTGCGATTTGGCATCTATTTTCCCGAGCACTAATTTTGTCATTAATTAAACAAAACAGTTTATTCTGGAATTTGTAATTTTTGTATTTGTATTTTGTATTGTTGCAATATTCGCCGACTTTACAAATAAAATATTGTTTTTGCTACTATTATGCTATAGCATTAACATTAATAAAATGTTACATTTGAAATGTTACATATAATAATTTTCATCAAACTTAGATTTGGAACATTATTTAAAGATTTTCATAGAAAGTTTTTGCAATGTTACATTTATAAAATTTAATATGAAATTTTAAATAAAAGTTTTTAACATTACAATTATAATATTGCAAAAATAAGTTTCTCTCAATGTTTCATCCAAAATATTACCTACATTCATTTGATTTTAGCAATGTTGCTTTGTATACATATATGTCTAATGGACGTTTATTATATATATTATATATTATATCACCCATATATGGGTGATAATATGGTGATAATATGGGATAATATTCTTAATTAATAGACCAGACTCATAGCCCAAAATTTGTATTTATCTTTAAGGTTAGGGAGAAGAGGTAATTACCAAAGATAAGCTATTAGCATAATAAAAAACTAGGATATACTTCAATTAATAAGTTGACAACGATTTTTAACATAAAATGCGAATATTCTAATACATATGCGCTTTTTCGTTGGTACCTTTTTATTCATCACAATTTCTTTGTTACAGAGGCCGTAAAGAAAAATTTTAATCTTGTAGATCGAGAATTTGAGGAGTCCGTGATGGACTGGTTCCGCCATGGCAAACAGCGAAATGCGAGAGAAAGAAAATGAATATGATATGAATATAAATAAAATATTTGATTCATATTTGCATGTTATTTGAAATAAAAAATTTTTCACATCCGTGTATTTATTCAAACATCGCTGCGATTTTATCCTAGAACATTAAATGTATGTTGTTGATGCACACATCATGATGATGTTTTAAACTAACGTTAAATTAACTAAACTAAACTAATGTTATATAAACATCGCATTTGTGAAGTTAATATGCTAACGTTAAATTAACTAAACAATTAAAGTTATATAAACATCGTATTTCTGACGTTAACATGCTAACGTTACTGGCGCGGTCATTTTCCGTTCTCGCGACTTTAATAGAACGTTAATGTTACAAGAATGCTAACGTCACAATGTAATAGGCTGACGTCGCAATAATGTAAATGTGACAAAGTTTTGCTTAGTGGGCCCACATATACGTATACACGAGAAAAAGGAAAACAAAAAGCGCGAATGAAACCAGACGTTTGCGTACGAAACAGGACCGAAATGGACAAAGGAAATGCAGGCAAAGCGAACGCGGATGAAAGCAGAGGTTTGCAATTAAAAGCAGATGTTTGCAGATGATCGCGGATAAAAGCAGATATTTGCGGATAAATGCAGATGTTTGCGGATAAAAGCAGATGTTTGCGTATAAAATCAGATGTTTGCGAATAAAAGCAAATGTTTGCCGATAAAAGCAGATGTTTGCGGATAAAATCAGATGTGCAGATAAAAGCATGTTTGCGGGTGAAACCGTATAAAAGAAGATGTTCGCGGATAAAATGAGATGTTTGCGGATAAAAGCAAATGTTTGCGGATGAAAGCAGATGTTTGCGGATAAAAGCAGATGTTCGCGGATGATTGCAGATGTTCGCGGATGAAAGCAGATGTTCGCGGATGATTGCAGATGTTCGCGGATAAAATGAGATGTTCGCGGATGAAAGCAGATGTTTTCGGGTGATTGCAGATGTTCGCGGATAAAAGCAGATGTTCGCGGATAAAATGAGATTTTTGCGGATAAAATCAGATGTTTGCGGGGGTGCTCTAACCGGATGAAATCAGGCGTTCGCAGATAAAAGCATGTTTGGGGGTGAAACCGTATGAAAGCAGATGTTTGCGGATAAAACCAGACGTTTGCGGATGAAAGCAGATGTTCGCGGTTGACTGCAGATGTTTGCGGATGAAATCAGATGTTCGCGGATAAAAGCAGATGTTGGCGGATAAAATTAGATGTTCGCGGATGAAAGCAGATGTTAGCGGATGATTTCAGATGTTCGCGGTTAAAAGCAGATGTTTTCGGGTGAATGCGGGGGTGCACTAACCGGATGATATCAGGCGTTCGCAGATAAAAGCATGTTTGCGGGTGATATGATATGATATGATATGATATGGGTCATGCCTACTACACAATAATGTGATTATTTTCAAAATCGGTGATTTCGTGAAATTTTCTGGTCCCACTTGACGTGGCTCTCTCATAAAAAATTAGGTGGCTTTCGAATTTTGAAAAATTAATCAAATTCGAATAATAATTTTTTCGCCATGGCGACTGTGCACAGTCAATTTTTGTACAGCTTAGAAAATTTTTAAAGGTAGCTCACAAATTTTAAAAAATTAAAAAAAATTTCGATATAGTCGCTTTGTTTTTGACACTAGCGAAAAGTAATTAGTAATTATTAATTACTCATTAATAGATATTCGTAGGCAAAATTTGCTGCAGCCCGCTGCTTTCTCGTGCAATTTTAATTTATAATTTCTAGCCAAAAAGCCCGAAATCCATGAAACAAGACGTTTGCGTACGAAACAGGACCGAAATGGACAAAGGAAATGCAGGCAAACCAAACGCGGATGAAAGCAGAGGTTTGCAATTAAAAGCAGATGTTTGCAGATGATTGCGGATAAAATCAGATGGTTTCGATTAAAATCAGATGTTTGCGCATAAAATCAGATGTTTGCGGATAAAAGCAGATGTTTGCGGATAAAAGCAGATGTTTGCGTATAAAATCAGATGTTCGCGGATAAAAGCAGATGTTTGCCGATAAAAGCAGATGTTTGCGGATAAAATTAGATGTTTGCAGATAAAAGCATGTTTGCGGGTGAAACCGTATGAAAGCAGATGTTTGCGGATAAAAGCAGATGTTCGCGGATGAAAGCAGATGTTCGCGGATGATTGCAGATATTCGCGGATAAAATGAGATGTTCGCGGGTGATGCAGATGTTCGCGGATAAAATGAGATGT